TGAAAAATTAAATGTCATGGCGGCACAGTGGAAAACTTTCACCTCTCATCGAGTCGAATATGCTCGCTTCATTCTGCGCTGATGGATGATAGCCCGCAGCTATACTTAACCTACTTAGTAATGTCATGTACCGCTGAATGTGTTTACTTTTGAAAAATAGTGAGAAAACATAAACTCTATCAGAGCCTGACATCTACGCATTCTTCCTCCAAATAAAGTGTCTTTTTATGTTGATGCTGGAATGAATTTTCCCCCTCATCAGACTTGTTTGCTTGTAGATCATGTAGGAACGCGGGAGGTGTAGAGACAGATACTGTTTCTCAATACTACCAGCTGTCTGTTAGACTTCACTGCTTAAATATCCAGCACAGCTCAAAGTGATTACAATTTCTTCACATGGCTGCTCTTTAGGTGACAATCTCAAGTTTTTTTCAGAGAAACTTGCAACGTCCAGGCTTTGTGCAGATAAAGGTAGATTATTGTGTCTGAATTAGAGCGAGGTGAGAGACAATGGGCTGAAAAGCAGAGAAAAGATGAGGGGGGAGGCAGCAGAGGGTAGGAGGGCTGAGCGATGACTGGCTACTTTAGCAATTAAAATGTGGGGCAAAGACACAGAGGCTTGGTTTGACCGAGAGACTGCACCATTCATCATCCCAGCTGCCATAAAGCAGCAGTAGATGGAATCTTTGATTTGAGCTTCACAGGAACATAAATCAAAATCCAAACCATGGGCTGTCAGGGCCATCGTCAGAATAACCCATTTGAGAGAGAGAGAGAAAAGCAAGGGAGGCCAGGCCGGAGAGAGGAGGTAGTTACTTTTCTGCCCGTGGACTTGGGCGCGCACACTTGCACTCGCAGTTTCCTGACACACCTTTGTCCCTCACACTGTTTGAAGTTCACGAAGCCTCACACCGCCGCACAATATCCAAGCAAGGATCATTGATCAAGTGGCTGGTCCTGTCACTGGCCAGTGGTGTGCCTGACCCACCCCGCCCCACCAACAGCTCCCGGGCCAACCCCCTCCTCTGCTCATACCGCACGATACAAGGCACGGAACAAGGAAGTGAGGTCACGCCGCGTGTACACCCATCCATCTAAATAGCATGACAACGACAGCTAATAAATCATTCATTCATTGTTTAATCTATTGTCTGCTTGGCCAAAAGTCATGCAGCTGATATGAAGACAGATTTACCCCATGCAGGTGGGGCCGTTCTGGGGGAGTTTTTACTGTTACCGGTTTCCTTATCAATTAGTAATGTGTTCATTAAAGCAAGGAGCAATTAAAGCCACTAATGATTGAAATAACATGGAGGGCCCTTTATCAAGTCAGTGCCAAAGTAATTTAAAGCAATTTAGTCATACATTTTACTTTGACTGGCTCGAGGATTTGTGCTTTTCACTGCCATGGCGCGGAATGATTGATGGCTCATCTACATGTTATTTCAACTCCATACAGCGCATATAAGGAACGCTGGTCTAATATGCATTTAGAAATAGAGAAGGAGCCAGGGAGGAGGGGAGGGAGGAGGGAGGAGGGGGGGTGAGGGCGGCAAGGTGAGGGTTCTGCAAGGTCACACAGGTTGGCTTTAAATGCAGCTCATAGTCCCGGAAGGGTGAATATTATTTAGGTTCATCTCCTCTACTGCGGGCTGTGTGTGTAATGTATTCTAATTACATAAAGAGAGCAGAGAGTTGAGAGCGGCGGTAGCAGCCACAGAGCGCGGCGTTACTGAGGTGATGTTCCTGACGCCGGAGTCTGTGTACGACATGTGACCCGCCGCTGCTCAGGACAGGTTAATGAGCCCGCTGTGGGATGTGCATGTCATTATAGCAGCCAGGGGGAAGGTCACCAGGAGCGTATACATGCTTCTGCTTCACTACAGAGCAAGTATTGTGTTCTCATTACAGGCCCTGCACCTGATATTTCAGATTCAGATTCATTTTATTTGCCATTTGCTGCATAACCAGACATTGAGAGGTTTCTAACTTTTTTCCCACTATTATCCTTTTTGGTTGTTCCTTGCCGATGCAGGAGGGTCTAAGAACAGGGAGGATCCAGGAAGAAGAAAATATACTGTGCTTTATTGATCTCACAATGGAGATACAGTATTCGGTACAAGGACATGTATTTACATTTATGGACATTGGTCATCTGCCCCTCATGGACCAATGGCTCTATGTGTTTTTTATTGTTGCACTTGCTGTACTTTACAGGCTGTTGAAGTCCCTCAAAGTATTCTGAAGTCTCAAATCAGTCCCTCCGGACTTAGTGGTGACGGTCACGACTGATAGCACATATAAACATCTTACTTTCAATGTGAATAATAATACTTGGAATTCCCTTCAGCACCCTCTGTATACCCCCTAGTAGTGGTCCACATATCCCCGTTTGGGAAATACTGGTATATTTTATAAAACAAGAGCTGCAACACATCTGCACGGGGGGGAACAAAAGTTAGTTTACAACATCTGGGAAAAATTTAAAGTTGATATTACTCCTTACTTTTGTCTTTTTCATTGTCTCATATTAAAGGCTTGAAACTTCATGCTACCACCCACTGTCGTTCCCAAAGAGGCAGCTTTTTTTTACAATTCTACAAACATAACATTTTAAGTGAAGTTAGGTCAAATGGCAGAATAGACTCAAGTAAACACAACACTGAAATACATTTTGCGGGTTGTGACACTTACTGTTACATTCAATGTTATGTTTTGTTGGGAGTTGCATGCTTTTTTAGGGGGTCCTGGACTGAACTTTTTTGGAAGCCTTGAGATAGACTATAGGAACGAGCAAGAGTAAGATCCTAAGTATCATAATGGTGTGAAAGAAAATGTCCTGTAAGTGAGTAAGTAATCTTTATGTAGCGCCTTTCTCAGACCAAAGTCACAAAGCTGTCTACAACTGTTATTTTTGGGCATTAGTCTCTCACTCCACCCAGAGATGGGAGCGGGGCCAGTACAGGAGGCACAGACCTATTGTACATGTTTTTAGTGGTAGGGGAAACCGGAGCACCCGGAGGAAACTTGCGCAGACACAGTGAGAACATGCAAACTCCACTCAGAAAAGCTCTGTTCCGACCAGGATTCAAACCCAGGACCTTCTTGCTGAGGATCAGAATCAGAATAAGAATAAGAATCATTTTTATTCTGATAAAGTGAGAGTGCTAACCACTCAGCCACCGTGCTGTCCCTTTGTACAGAGTTAGGGTTAGAAGTTTCTATAGAAGTATCATGCATTACTGTTATGATTAAAATCATTATTATTAGTATTATTTGTGGAAATGTATCAACACTTCTGCCCCTTAAGGACAAACCGTTTGATTCACCGATGTCCTTCGAGATTTCCACAGATTGGGTGATACAAAAATACATTGAAATGGATTGAGTTAAATTTGTATTATTATTAATATTATTATTATTATTATTATTAATATCATCAGTAAAATGTGTTGTAAAATTCAGGATCTTAGAAAACCGAGTAAAGAGCAATATTTGACATAATAACATTTCTTCCTTAAGGTCAAAGGTCCGGTGTGACTCCCTCCTCGCAGCCGTGACATGGCTGACCTGTTGTTAAAGCACAATGGCGATTGTTTTACGCCAGATGAGTCAGATACACAGCATGATGGAGGAGCCATAAAGTCGATGAGGTAGTGTTGATCCCTCAGACAGCCATCATTGCAGATGAGTGATTGAGGCGAGGCGGCGGTGATGGGAGGCCATGAGCGGCCCCTGCACCTTCATCCACGGTAATACTGCGGCCAAAAGCCCCGTGTGTGGCGCTGGCGTCTGGTGCCCGCATGTGGAGCGTGGCATTAGTCAGGAGCGAGCACAGCCCCAGCAGTCAGCCAGAGATGGGCTGAGGGAGATGAATGGGAGGCAGGTTCACTTTATTACTGTCACTCTGCTCTCTCCCAGTCTGCCTCAACCTCCCCACTAGCACCCGTCCATTAATCACATGTTACTGCTCTCCTCCCTCTGTCTATCTCTCTTCTATCCTCCCGCATTTCTCCATCCCATACGTCTATTATCTCCCCAAATCACTCTGCTTTCTCAACGTTGTCTCATCAAACTAACTTAACTTTACACTCACTCTATACCCATGTCTTGGCCATGTTGAGCATGTTGTGAAGCAGAACCAGGAGTCACATGGAGATTGCTTTCAATGTTATGAATATACAATATACAGAAAGGGTGCTGGTACTTTGCTAGCTCTTGTTAGCTTACCAAGAAAGTAAAACTGGCTCTGAGTACTGCAGAATAGTTACAAGTGATGCCACTGTTACACAACACATGTACAACTGGACCATGTCCCTCTCCCACGGCATGAAACAGATCGTTCTTTTTAAGATCTGTTCAAGCCGTAAATCTGACCAAAGGTTTTTCATCTCCCTGATGAGTTTGTTTTGATTGTTTTAGCCAAAATGTTGCATGATAATTAGGTAGGATAATAAAGGTTAGGATTAGGTCAGGGTTTCAAGACTTTGATGTCAACTTTTTTCTGGGACTATTTAAAAATCAACAATAGCAAATCACTGCAAATGAAACCATGTATTGGATTGGGACAGAAGCAGATTTTCAACTGGAGGTCCAATAAACCTAAATGCTGGATCAAAGGTACAACATGGAATGCTCTCCTCCAGCGACTGTCGGACTTTACAGGTCGACCACAGGAAGCAGGGACCAGTGTCATGTTTTCTGTGACTGTGTGTTTTGGCCCAAATTAAATTGGAATTTTAAATATGACCCTTTTCAGAACTGTATTCAGCTCAGATAAATGTGAATCTTTGGAGTCAGGTGAGGTGAGCGTGAGCATCAGACTCGCAGTGATGCCACCAGCTCTCCCTGTGTCCCGGCCGCTCAGAGGCAGTCCCGCTCCCCTGGGCCCCCAGGAGACAGGAGTGCTGTGTTGATGCTTTCTCCGCATACAGGATAGTGTGTTTATATATATATATAGGCAGCAGAGGCAGCTTGAGGTGTCTCTCTGGGGTACCTGGATGAGCGGAGCACTGTGTGGAGACCAGGGCAAAAGAAGGAGAAGAGAAGGGCCCCCACAGGCCTGTGCCGGGACGCTGCTCCCCGGATTCTATTGCCTAATGGGTCGACAGGGATTTGGGGAGGTGGGCGGAGGTGGACAGAGACGGATGGCTCCTGACAAACTCGCACTGACAGCCAGTGAATACAGGGCAGCCGCGCAGAAAGGTCAGAGCAGGGATGGATAAAGGACCGCTTGACTTTCAAAGTTTGGCCCTGCTCGCTGCCACTGCGTCTCGGTATGAACAAGAAAGTATTCTTCAGATAGTTTTCTTTCACATTATCTGCGCTCTCTACAGCTAAACTTGTTTAAATAATACAAGATGATCCACCCTCACTGTGGGAAGGAGAGGTTCTGTATGTTTGTTCTTCCTGCTGCTGTCAGACTGTACAACGAACAATGAAGACTGATGAATACTGCTGACCTGACCTCACATGTCATGCATCTGTGCAATAATAATTTGTAACAATGTTAGAACGTGCAATATGGGACCACATGTGTTCACTGTCACTTTACTATTATCCCATAGACCCATGCTGCGAACATGTCCAGTACATCCTCACCGTGAGGATTTGAACCCTCCATTTCAGAGTCAATTGTGTTTGTTTTATTCCTCTACTTTTAATCTTGTTTAATGTATGTACTTGTCTTGTGCACACTGAGGACTTTTGCAAATGTATTCCAATGTGGTTCTACTGCAAATGGCAAATAAATCTAATCTGATATTATCTGAATCCTCTGTGCTTGGACTGAATATTCTTAAACAAAAGCGTATTATCTATCTATAGATGTATACACACAATTTTACAGTATATGTCTTGCACTAGCGTTTACTTTATATTACCTTACCTTTTTATTAAGCTAAAACTAGTCTTGTGTTGTGTGCTCCTCATTCTATCTGCTCTGTAACTTGTGAAGCAACACTGAAATTTGAAAGACCATCTCTCTCTTCACCAAAGCCTGTTTCTCCCACAACATCAGAGCACGCAGCTTCAACATGTCCGGCTAAAAGTGCGGCACATATGCAGCGACACTGACATTCTCATTAGAGCGTGGTAAGCAGTGCACCTCAAAGGAGAAAGAATCAAAGACGCTTAAATGAACTAATCGCAAGCTACCCCAGAGGCGGTGTGTGTGCGCGTGTGTGTGTGTGTGTGTGTGTGTGTGTGTGTGTGTGTGTGTGTTCTGTGTGTGCGTAGGTGCGTAGGTGATGTGTTTATTGACTCTCACAGAGGAGTGGATAAGACTGAAGAACACTGATCCAGTCAGATGTCACAGGCCTCAGAACAGTGTCTAATGGGGCCCCGGGGACTGATGTGAGCGTCACCCTCCTGTTCAGTCTGTGAGCTGCTCTCGGAGTCTCTATGTGCAGGGTCTATTATGAAAAGATGTGTTTTAACTGCTACTACAAACACAGCCAGCACAAAGGATATAACAGTTGTATTGAAATCAGTATATTGCTATTATTCATTATTCACCCACTTCTTTCTGCTAAAATGATTGGAGACTGACTTGTACATGAAGGTTTGGTTCTTGTTTGATAATAACATACAGGTTTTGGCTAATGTAAAATTATTTCTTGCTACTATTTCTTTCTGCTAAGAAGAATGTAGGACCACTGCAGAAAGTAATGGAAATAAAGTCAAATATTGCTCCGATTTGGCAAAATGTAGCATAATTTGAGCACTTTTTGATTGTCTTTGCCAATGGGACAAGCAAAATTAATATTAGTTTTAAAAATATACAAAAATGTCTCTCTTGGAATGAGCAAATAAGACTAAATGGCTTCGTCCCATCGTCAAATCTTGTTTTAAGACAGACATTAAGACAACGTATCGGTTATAGTCATGTCACTACATATAGATAGATAAATGGTCTATTGTTTATTTTGATTTGTATAGAATGTTCTGTTTGATAATAACATACAGCTTGGCTCATTTTTAATCTTGGGACCACTGGAAGGACTGTTTCTTTGGCACCAAGGACTGTAGAAAAGACTGGGCACAGATTTTACAGATTGGAAGTGAGGATGGGTCTGATGGGGCTGAAAAACTTCTCTCAATCTCTACTTCCGTCAGACTCACCATTCTGATCCAAACCCTCTGCCTTACAAGCCTATCAGAACAACCCACACATTTCCCACTATGCAGATGGAAAAGTAATGAGGAAATACATTATTATTATTGACCATTATTGAACCAGCAAAGTCCCACTGAGGTTTGAGAGTTTCTTTTTTGGGGGAATCCTGGCCCCGGAGAGAGGGAAGCTTTTCTATATGTTTTTAGTGGTAGGAATAACCAGAGCATCGCAAGGAATCACACTCAGACATGGGGAGAACATGCAAACTCCACTCATAAAGGCCCTGTTCTATTCAATTCAAATCAATGTATTTAACAACAAACAAAGCCATTGGTCCATATGGGTCAAATGTCCATCAATGTTATCAAATGTCCTTAAGCGTTTGTGTGACCTGGTCTGTAAAATGTGCCATATGATTAAATGCTACTTACTGTACTTACTTAATGTGCTGGATCATCGCCTCTGTCCTTACCCCCTCCTGCACGAACCCATTGCTAACCACTCAGCTACTGTTCCGTTCATTACCATTACATAATACCTGATTACACAAGTCGTAAACAAAAAAAGTGGCATTCTTTCTCTCTTTAGGAATTTCTTGTGTTCTGCCTGAATCCCAACGAGTCCGCTCCATATTTGTATAATTCCTAAAGTTTTGCTGGCTTTGACATCAGTCAGGTTGATTATGTGCGAACACTTAACCGTATGTGATTTGCCTACTTAGCGTGCTCCCCGTCATGTGCTATGTGCGAGGACACCGCTTGTCAGCTGACCGGAGGAAGTGGAAGGGACAGATCCTGGCAGGACGTCCACTCCTCCCACCGCTCTGGGAAGGCCATGCTTCAGCCATGTGTCCATCATCGCCGTCGGAGGCAGCCATTTTTGAGCCGTGGCGTTCTCCAATCTGAGGCGCCCTGTCCGTCTGACGAGTGGACTGACCTTTTCTCCACGTCAGATGTCGCGCTGGCTTACGTCAGGACAAGGCTCCGTGTCAGAATGTGCTGCAGCTCCTGTCTGTTGACTCTGTTAATGATTTTACCCAAAGTGCACTGCTTTGGAGCCAAACAAGTGCTGATGGGAGGTGACAGCGGAGACAGCAGGGTTCACGCCGTTGTCTCGCTTCTTCTGCGGATTCTGAGGAGTTTAAAAGCCTTGTGCGCCGGGTTTGATATCTTTAAAACGCAAAAAAGCACAGTTTTCACAGTTTGAGTTATTCCTCACTTTCTCACAGACTCTGAGATGAGTTATTAACACTTTGCAGAACTGTGCACATTATGCTAAAGTTAGAGATGTTATACTTTCTTCTTTATTATGCTAAAGTTAGAGGTTTTATAGTTGCTTCTTTTTTATGCTAAAGTTAGAGATTTTATCCCTGCTTCTTTATATGCTATAATTCAAGATATATACATTTTTTTGAATAGATTTATCTTGTGTTGTGTGGTCCTCATTCCTACTCTCCTAACTGGTATTGCAACACTGAAATTTCCCCACTGTGGGAGGAATAACGCAGATGCAAAACACATCACAAGATCTCCGTTTTGTTTTGCATTTTTTAAGATCATATTGAAGAAATACAGGGTTCAGACTGAGCCACCATTATGAGGCTGACGTCTACAGCACAGAAGAAATCCAAAAGGTAGAGACATCAAAAGTAGAGCAGTCCTTATGTGGGGCTCTCTTGACAGTGACCTCAGTGTTCTGGAAGTAGACAGACAGTGTATGCTGCCCTCCGTGTCATAACCTCTTTTCTTCCCCCTCATTACGTTTCTAAGGCGGGACCAAAAGCACAGAGCTCACAGCCCATTGCCTGATCATGTTAGATGTGAGCGTGTTACCAGGACTGGACTCCCCCCAGGGCAAAGCTCGGCCCCCTACTGCTGCTGCTGTACATCCCCTGCTTTAGGACCAGGACGACCAGGCACTTCCCTCTCTCCAACTCAGCAATCACTCTGGTGCAATGTGACAATAGCAACTGAACGGAACTGCACGCATCCACATTTATATGAAGCCGCACAATCTTTCGTTTGTTTTTGTTTCCTTATATTCCTGTTTGCAATATTGTGTTTTGAATCCATTGCATCTACAAATCATATCTATCCTATTGTATCATTAATAGTCTACTGATTGTTGCCTGTCAGTAGCTCAGTTGGTAGAGCATTGGCCTTCAGGCCTGAAGGTCGTGGGTTCAATTCCCACCTCTACACCTTCTCCACCGACTCCCACTGATGACTGCTGTCTTTGTGTCCTTGGGCAAGACACTTAACCCCATTTTGCCCAAAGCCCCCGCTGAAAGATCAAGGCTATGCTCACACTCAGAGAGCAGCCGTCCTCCTGTGGACTCACCACCTGCAGAGGGTCAGTGAGGGGCTGGTGCTATGAGACTTGGGTGGCATCTCTGACTGCCACCCCCCTGACCCAGAAATGGATTAAAGGGTAGAAAATGGATGGATGGTTGGATGATTGTCGGGCGGCACGGTGGCTGAGTGGATAGCACTCTTGCCTCTCAGCAAGAAGGTCCTGGGTTCGAATCCTGGTCGGACCAGGGCCTTTCTGAGTGGAGTTTGCATGTTCTCCCCGTGTCTGCGTAGGTTTCCTCTGGGTACTCCGGTTTCCCCTACCACTAAAAATATGTCCAATAGTTCTGGCATGCGCCTCCTGTTCTGGCGACCCCGCTCCCATCTCTGTGTGGAGTGAGAGACAATTGCCCAAAATTAACAATTGTAAACCGCTTTGAGACTCAGATCTGCAGTGAAAAGGCGGTATATATATAAAGATTACTTACTTACATTGTTGCCTGGTCTTTTATGATATGTCCCTGAAAACGTGTGTGTGTGTGTGTGTGCGCGTGTGTGTGCGTGTGTGTGAGTGAAAATATTTGCACACCCACAAAACACACAGAAGCGAATCACATGGGAATTAAGTATGCATTTGTAACTATAATTAGTGTGTGTGTGTGTGTGTGTGTGTGTGTGGGGAGCGGGGTAAGGGGTGCTAGAATCTGACTGCCTGATGTAGCTATAAGCAGTGACAGCAGATGCAAACCACCTGCTGGGGTTTAACAAGTTTCAGTTCAAATCTTGTGTATTAGGTATAGGACTACATTGACTTTTGTGTCTGAACTTCACAAGCAAGAATCTGGGATCCCAAATGAGAGACAGATTCTGGTCTCTGATTGGATAATGTGCTTGAAAACCTTATTGTTGACATTATTGTGTTATGATCCACCATTTACTCAGAAAAGGCCAGAAAATGATCTGTCATCTATTTTTGTTTCCACATAAATAACGCATTTTGTAAATGAGGGGTAGGACCATATAAGCTTTTACTTCTTCCTACTCCCTTTTGAACATGTGAATGGATTAGACATTTTTGGTTTTGTTTTGCGGCTTATGTAGGAAGTATGCACACATGTTTCAAAATAAACTAAACTAAACTAAACTAAACTAGAAAATGATCTGTCATCTGTGGACGCATTTAAGAATAGTAGTTTCTGTATAAACTCAAATTATTACACATAGACCCTATAAACCTGTATAACAAAGAAAATCATCTTTGAATAATTCCTCTTAACTTCACCACAGCGCTATCAGCATCATTCGTCGGTGCTGCTTTTATCGGGCTGCACTTTTATCGGGCTGCACTCTGGCTCGGCTGAAGTCCGATGGTAAATGACGCCTGCCTTCAGTTTCGGAGTGGCTTTTGAGCGTCCTGTTTGCAGCGCTGCCCGATCGCCGTTAATAGGGCAGAACGGGGGGTTGTATTTGATAACCAGCTACATGGGCTACAGTATGACATCCAGGGCCAAACGATGGCTACCAGCTCTGCAAACAACCACCACACCCTCGATCCATTTTTATTGTATTTGAGCAGCAGTGTTATATTTCCTGGCCTCCCCTTAGCACCACACGCACAGGGCACTCCAAACAAAAAATCCATAGTATCGACCGGCCAATGTCACCACAATTACTCTTCCCAAACAGCCATTGAGGACAAATTACATCTGCACTGCCTTTTCACCCGGTCACTACGGCTGAGCAGTTGTCCCCCCCCCCCCCCCCTGCCCAATGCCCCCCTCCACCCGCCTTTCTCCTCCTCCCCTGCTCCTTATCCTCCCTTCAGTTTGTGGGTGCGTTCGGCTGTTTGGGCCGTGGAGAAAAAGTCCGGACCTAAAGATGGGTGAGGAGGACACTGAAAAGGAATAAGCTGGTGTAGGCCACGGTGCACTTGCTGTTGTCCATTCTCTACAAAAAATAACAAAACTTGAGGTAATAAATGCTTGAATCGAGTGGTTTTTATGCTAATTTGAGCACATTCTGACTTTCTTTCAAGATTTTCCAACGGGTCAAAGCCATTTAGTCTCATTTCAAGAACTGCTGTTTTATTTTCTCATTCCAAGGGAGGCATTTCTTGGATATCTTTTTTAACTCAGGATCATTTTGTTTGTCCCATTTGCAAATCTTGTTTTAAGGCAGTCAGAATGTGCTCAGATTAAGATACATTTTGCCAAATTTGAGACAATTTTGACTTATTATTTGTCACTTTTTGCATTGCTTGTTCACAAAACTTTCTATACTCTTCTTTTTTCCACAAAACAGCATGCAAAAACGTCACCTGCCATTCATTTTCAATCATATTACTAATAGATCCATGATAATTGGAGATTTAGAATCATTGAGTGCACAGTGAGTGAAAGGCTTTGTTAATAATAAACAGAGCTGATGAAGTATTTGTTCTCATTCACATTATTTATTCTTTCTTGGACTCACATGCAAGCACAGGATCCATAGCTAAGAATAATGAAAGACAATTTTATTGATAACGCTTTTTTTTATATGCTTGTCTTCTTAATGCTCTATCTGGAAGAGCTCGAAAAGTGCACGAGATTGCTGCTGCCTCTGTCCCATTTCTCGACAAGTCCACAATGATTTAAGTTTCTTGGGATGAATATTTGAAGTGAGCGTTATATAAAACTCACAACTACATAATACACTTGATATCAGTGTCCAATCTGACCCGGATACTCTGTACCGTGGACCCCTGTTATATCTGTATTACTGCTGCACAGCATTATCTGAACAACTGAACATACTTGTTTTACCCACATTGTTTCTATAATATCTACATCTCAAGCATGAGTCGTTAAAGTGATGACGTCTCTGTTCTTATGATGCACATTGATACAAATCATATAAACGGCCATGTGTCCTCTTGTTCAATCTGGAGGGACTCGAGAATAAACCGTGGTACAGGTGCAATCGCCGCTGCCTTGACTTCATTTCTCGACGGATTTGAAAAACAAAAGAGTCATGTCCCAGTCCGTGTCAAGTGAACACAAATCCTCTTCCTGCCAGCCGCTTTTGATGATTTCACTGATTCTCAAGACCCACAGAATATTATGTGCTATGACTATAAGAAATATGAAACCAGATTCTGAAAGACTGGATTGTCTACTTTCATCAGAAAAATTAAGTTTGTTTCTAGCTAATTTTGTTAATCTGTAGTCCCCAGTCGAATAGAGGGAAGTTTGACAGAAGTAACCAGTCTCAGACAAATACGTCAATTGCAGTCAATGAGTTAAATGTGTCTTTAATTGACACTGGAAGAAAATATGGACAACATTCATCCCCGACTCCTCGAAAGCAGTGATTTTTCGCAGCAAATACAGAGATTGCCTGCTATTTGCATTGGGCATATTGCTACGTTCAAAAATGAAGCTAGTACAGACTCCAGCAGCGTGTTTGTGTGCACTCGGGCAGGCCTCCAGTGGAGAGATTTAATCTGGCTCCGAGGTGTGAAGAAAACCACTTCCCATGTTTACATGAATACAGAGGCCCAACAGCACAGAAAACCCTCTGCTATTGATTTCCCCGTCTGTGCGCACTGCCAAAATCATTTATTCACTATTGGCAGCCGCGCTAGCAACAACCAGCGTTTAATGCTCTTAGCTATTAAGTTTCTTTGCAAGTAATCTCAGGGAGCTGTGTCCCCCTCGGACCGCAGACAGGGTGATTGAGTTTTGCCGATGGTACGGTTGCCCAGGAGGACGTTTAAATGGTCGCTGGTGCAGGTGGCGTGTAGCTGGTGCTCAGAGTTGGATTCTGTGGCGATGGTGTGTAAGGTCTGCGTCCGACCAGGGCTCATCCATCACCACCCACCAGCTCTCACAGCACTTCACCTTTATCTGCAACAATGAAACAGTGCTTTAGCGGTAACAGGGCCACCTCTGTGTCCTCTCCGTGGGAACGCTCCGTGCATACGCCTGCACTTTGGAGCCACCGTCGTCATTTACACTTTGGAATTCTGTCGCCTTTAACGACAAACGGGAGAAAGGAAACCATTGCGGCAAACGTACAATTTAATGTCATGATAATAAGTGAACGCGTTGCAAATATACGCAGAATAAAAAAATTGTGGTTATTTGGGTTAGGGGTTTGATAGTGACGTGGTAATTACCGTTCATAATTACTCGTATCAATGATTACATATATGCTTTTATTAATGCCTTGTGTGTTTGTTTCTATCTTGTTTTGTTCAACATTTTGAGTTGTGTATGAATGTTCTATACATATAAACTTCCCTTGCCTTGCCTAATAGATACAATTATTCTTTTAAAATATGTATGAGTTGTAATATTTTGATTGGCCATTTCTGTGAGCGAATGTGTTGCTCTGAGCTTTTTTTTAAGATGGATTTTTCTCTCCAATACCACAAACAATATTCTACTATTGTTATTGCCCATATGTGGATGCAGACCCCACCTCCTGTAGGTCTGACTGTGGCATAGACGTGTATATTGCGCATGTGTGTGTGCGCGCGTGCGTGTGTGTGTGTGTGTGTGTGTGTGTGTGTGTGTGTGTGTGTGTGTGCGTATGTGATGTATGGTGATCAGTCACACGAGGGGTTTTTACTGCGTGATTATTTCTGCTGTGACACTAACGAGCTTGGGCTGCGGAGCCACTGCAGACCAATTACAGCACAAAGAAGCTGCTGGCTTATTACACTCACATAATCACTACCTTTTACTCTGTTCTCTCTCTGCAGAAAACACAGCCGCTCCTTGCCGCTCTCCACATACAGTCACATTAGCAGGTAAACACTCGCTCTGACCCTGTGTGTGTTACAAGAGCCAGCATTAAGATTGACAGCGGGCTATGGTCTTTGATGCCCTGTTGTCTGCGCTGAGCTGAGGCGGCTTGTTGATTTATAACTCCTGCCTGTGTGCGCCTCTTCACTGGATTGGATCTCGGGTGTGTGCGCTGATGTGCCGTCTCTGCATGTGTCACACTGTGCACGGGCTGTGGATGAGGGATTTGTGACTGGAGGGAAGGCGCACAAACAATCAGGTGAAGATGAGTGAAGAAAAGTGCGTCGGAATCCGTGCATACGCTGTGATTGGGTTATCCCGGTGTCAGCAGTGCAGCGTCAGCACATCCAGCAAGAGTTACACCAAACCAGAAGGAGGTGTGGAGAGATCTTCTGAGGTGATGTCGGTGCTGTGTGTGTGTGTGTGTGTGTGTGTGTGTGTGTGTGCGTGTGTGTGCGTGGGAGAGAACGTGTCACACCCTCTAATCACCTTCATTATTTCCTCTAATTACCTGCAAACAGCTAATGAATTCTTCAGGAATCCCATCATGTTGTGTGTGCTCACATCGTCATTCGTTTTGCTCGGCTGCCATTAATTTGCTCATAAACAAATACAATTAGCATTAAATGTTTCATTACTGGCTCGTATATCTGTTAGTGCTGCTGCCACCGACTGAGAAGGTGGAACTGCTCTGGAAAGATCTAATTTGACTGTACTTTCATAACCGCTGCAGAGAGGATCATTGTCTGTGATGGCATATATAATATTTCACAGTTTGAGATCAGTCCTTTGGGTTCTTTCTGCTTGTGTCTGTGAGCAGCTTGTGCTTGTATTTGTATTTGCTTTTTATTCACTTCCTACATTCTCCGTCCAAGGTCGAGCGAGACGAGGGACAATGGACTGGAGTCCTGCCGGACCATGATGAATGTGTACATTTGATGACAACAAAAGCATAATGACCTTTTTCTATAATGAATGGATTCGTCATTAAAAATCTGTGGCCTGCGGCAAAGTCTTTTCTGCATATTCTGATGTCACCTCGATGGTGTGTGATTGTGTGTGTGATGCAGAGGCTCCACACTGACCATTACCACAGTCAGACTGCTCTGCTGCTTAATCATTCTGCTCACAGACATGTTTATGGAAATAGTTCACCTCATGTAAGTAATGCTCTCATGATTGGAGCCGGAAAGCAGCAGGGAATTATGATGAAACACCCGATCACGGCCTTGTCCTGCACAATGTTACTGTGTCCAACAAAGACTTGTGTTGTTCTGTTTTTTGGTAGATTTCGTTTTAAGATTTTCAAATAAATGTTGCATTAAACAAGTCTGTCCTCCAGCTTTCCTAAACAACAGAACCATATCCTTCAGGATCTCGGCAGCAGCGGTATCTGGCTAATGTTGGATGAGCGAGCAAGCTGTTATTTAGACAAGATATCAGTGAGGACAGTTTAGACTCTTTTCTATTAAGACATTTATTCTTGTACCATTGGCAAATTTGGACTTATTTTTAGACTTCTAAGTTCTAAAACAAAGGTGAATTTTGCCATTTTCAAAATTTGTTTTCCATAAACCTGGTGTGTGTCTTCATAAAAGGGGTCGATTGAAATTCGAGTTGAAACATTTGTAAACCACAAGTTGTACCTTGCATATGATTGTGGTTTGTCAGTAATTTGTGGTCATCGCTGCTCCTCTGCCAGGGAGCTCACCAAAGGATTTAGAAATGAACAAATCAAAACATTTAGTGAATATTTCAGAATTGTATGATGCATGCGTTCAACTGCTTTGTGAACTCGCAACAAATATGTGATGATAAATAATAGTAGTTATTGATCGTGCCCAATCTTAGGCTCACTCTCGACGTCATGTCAACTCATTTTCCCCCAGGACTTTTTAAAGATGTAGCTCTTTGTCATTTTCGTCTAGAGAAAGAACACTGCAAAAAGTTGAGAAAAATAAGTAAAAAATTGCTCCATTTTGGCAAAATGTGTCTTATTTTGAACACATTTTCGACTGCCTTAAAATAAGATTTTCCAATGATTCAAGCGGAATTATCTTGTTTTAAAAAAGATACAAGAAAGATCCCTTGGAATGAGAAAAAGTGCAACAATTCCGACACTAAGACTCAACTAAAATCTTATTTTAACTCAAAAAACACTTGATTTAAGCAATTACTACCTCATATTTGATATTTTTTCCCCGGGTGAAAACATTTGGAGACCCCATAATGGGTCGATGGTGAAGGTTGTGCACCAGGACAGCAGTGACAGTGTCAGCTTAGTACCACTGAGTATGGAGTGATTGAACACAAAGTACCATGGGTCTTTTAAACAGTGCTGTTAGTATTGTACGTATATAATAGTTATTAGGGCTGTATCTGACTCGTTTTTGACCAGTGTCACAGATGCAATTAGCCTATGACGCTAAATACATCAAACACCACCACCACCTGTTTACAGAAGCCACTATTTTCACAATAATGACTTTTCTCTGAGTAGGACAAATGTTTTCACTTCACATATCGACCTCTCTTGTGTCTCCTCCCTCTCTGTCCTCCCAGCCCACCCTCCCCCTCCAAAGAGACATGTAATGGCTGCACAAACACGGCACTGATTGATTGACAGCAGACAATTATCAGCCTCTCTCTCAGAACTGTATTGATCCCTCGAGCCAGATTAGTATCTTTCTCCAGCCGGGCGTCCTGCAGGTCATGTAACAAGCTCTGACCCTGCCATGGATACAAATGGCACATATATCTACTGCCCCACTCCAAATGTCACCTGCCACACACGACAGCGAGGGTTAGGGTAAACATTCGCTCAAGACTTGAAAGACTTGGACGTGTCTCTTGTTATAAAATGGCCATTATGTCATCTGACGGCATTCCAGTTAGGGCGGTTTGGTTTTGTGGTGGAGAGAATGAGGGTTCTCTACGCGGAGACGTCGTGTGAATAACGCCACAGTTTTACAATCTATAGACAATGTGTGTGTAAATACAGACGTGCAGAGAGACGCGTAGAGTGGGGAATCAAAGAGGAGGTGAGCGTGATATTGTACAACTGCATTTTACAACCTCGTCTGTAACTGCAAGAACAATGTCAAACAACAACAGAAAGGTTATTCAAAATAAAAACAGGGAAACAACTAAACCAAAACATTGTTCACTAAATTAGACACACATGACTGTATGAATGGAGAATTGAGTCGAAAAACAAGTCTTACACTGTGTGAGGAAAAATAAGTCAGAAATTGCTCAAATCTGGCCAAATGTGTGTTAATTAGAGCACTCTTTGACTGCCTTAAAACCAGATTGGCCAATGGGACAAAGAAAAATGATCTACAAGAATTGTCTCCCTTGGATTTAGAAAATAAAGTAACAGTTCTTGAAATAATTCAAAATTCTTTGTCCTAAAAATCTTGTTTTAACACAGTCAGAATGTGCTCAAATTAATATAAAAAACACTCAATTTGAGCAATTATTACCTCATATTTGTTTTTATTATGAAGAGTTCAATTGTAAAAACAGATATCTCCGTTTTGAGAATTTGTTTAAAAAAATTGTTTGTTAGCTACAATCTTCAACCTGTTTTATTAATGGCATAATATTTGAAAGGATTTTCTCAAGAAGAGGTGAAACTATATATGTATGTATGGCACTATAATAGATCAGGATTTTCATAAAACTACTTAGTAAAGTGTGAATCGTAAGAAATTAAAAAAAAAATCTGTTTTAGCTAAAGAAATATTCAATGTTTTGCAGTGTACTAATATAGTTTTCAACCTCACCTGTGACTGCAAGGACATCATTAAACAAGAACAGAAAGGTCTTTTAAAACAAACAGAAGAAAATTTAAAAAAAAACAGCGTTAATAAAAAATGCGTTAAAATAGACAAATATGAAGGCATGAATGAATGATTGAGTCACAAAACAAGTCATGGAGAATACTTGAAATAATAATTGGGGATGTACCTCTTCCATTGTCCATAAATGTAAATCATTTGTTTTCTGTTCTATGATATGGATTGAAAGAGGTCCCGACTCTGGTTTTCCACTGGACCAATCAGGGCTTTCACGTCTTCCTGGGGACGTGCATCACATTTGCGCCGATTCTCTTTTAACCAAACTTTGGACTGCTCTGGAAGTTCTGGAAGCTCTGGAAGTTCTGGAAGTTCTGGACTGCTCTGGAAGTTCTGGTGTTAATGGTACAGTACACACTTCACTTCACATTCAACTTCAGAAAACTTTATTGATCCCAAAAGACAATTAAATGGCAACAGAATCTCAGAGCAGAACACACAGACTCTACACAAACACACACAGACTCTACACAAACACACACAGACTCTACACAAACACACACAGACTCTGCACAAACACACACACTCTACACAAACACACACACTCTACACAAACACACACACTCTACACAAACACACACATACTCTGCACAAACACACAGACTCTGCACAAACACACAGACTCTACACAAACACACACAGACTCTACACAAACACACACAGACTCTACACAAACACACACAGACTCTACACAAACACACACAGACTCTGCACAAACACACACAGACTCTACACAAACACACACTGACTCTGCCACTCTACACACTCTACACAAACACACACAGACTCTGCACAAACACACACAGACTCTGCACCAAACACACCACAGATCTACACAATCACACACAGACTCTGCACAAACACACACAGACTCAGCATTTCTTGTCTGAGGAAAGTAACTCCACAATTTTTAGTACACACACAGGGTGTATGGGTATTAGAGGGATTATTACTAGCTGAGATCATTAGTGTTCTATTCACTGCGAAAAGGACAAAATATGAGGTAAAAATGCTTAAATCAAGTGGTTTTCATCCAAATATACTAAATTCTGTCTTAAAAAACCTGATTTGTCGATGGACCAAATCCATTCAGTCTTATTTCAAGAGCTGTTGAATTTGTTTATGTCATTCCAAGGGTGAAATGTCTTGTATCTTTTTAAAACAAGATAATTTTGCTAATCCCACTGATAAATATTGTTTTTCAGGCAGTAAAAATATTGTCAAATTTAGGTAAATTCTACCAATATTTGTTGCAATTTGTTTACTTATTTTCCATCCCTTTTTGCAGTGATTTTGCTCGTTTTCGATTATTTTGTTAACGCAAGTACGATTAGGATATTCTATTCTACTCGTCCCAATAATTATCTTGTAGCATATTTCTAAATTGCCAGGCTCAAAGTCATAACCACCGCCCATGAACCAAGATTAAAATTTGAAAAAGTATCATTTCTGCAGACTGAACACATCTGGACGGCCGCGCTCACATCTTAAATGTTAAATTAGCCGATAATTAGATCGGACGTAATGAAAGAGCAGGAGACGGGAATCTCAATGAGCTTCCTTTGTCTTTCACCGACCATAAAGCACATCCCCATCCGCCCCGGCCTCGCCATGCTATATCTTTATCAGTCAAGAGAGTGTGGGTGCCCGCGCGTGCCAATCCGAGGGCCGCGTACAGGCAGGTGGGTGACAGGGGCCGCAGCGCTCCTGTCCCAGCCTGCCATCGGGGCGTCACTGCCACATGCTTGTCTATCCGCCGGACTTGACGCCTGACCCTCCACGCTCGCGGTCGCGCCATCGCTGTCTGCGCTGCACGTTCCCTGACAGCTGACAAGACACCTGGGACAAGTCGGTGTGCAGGGCCAGAGCGGAGGTCCAGGTACAGACATGAGGATTTACTGCAGACAGGGAGAAGGGAGCGGGGCCATGAGAGTGACAGTCAAATTGGGATGTGGGGGTATGGCTAAGGTGTTTTATTTTGATTGGGGTTTTAATTGGCGAGGAAGAGGACGCGGCGACTTGCTTCAATCAGCATTATCAACTCTGCTGCCTTCACATTCTTGAGTCGATTAAAGCTGAGGTACCTAACTTTCAAACTAAACTGAACAATGTAAAAAATCAATACAACTAGAGATTCTGTCCTTGCTTCTGTATAATTCTAAAGTTACAGTAGGTCATGGGCTTGTGGCCAAACTTGCATGCAAAAGCCAGATCCTGTCAGACCTCTGAAGCTGTGCAGGGCAGGGCCTGGTTGATACTGTGATGGGAGACTGCTGTGAACACCCGGTGTCGTAAAACTGTACTGTGGCAAACTGTTGCTGTGTCCTTAGGCAAGACACTTCTGTAGCCACTGAGATGCTTTCACAGTGACATCCAGACACCTTCAGCTCCACCGTTACAGTCATGCTATACCTCGGTGTAAAAGTCAGAACCTTTGGAATCCAGTTGTCAAGTTTATTTTATACACTGATCTTTTATATCAAACCCCATTTTAAAGCCCAGGACAGCCCAAATCCAGTCAAAACAGTCCACCCTGGTCAAGTCTAGCTGACCAAGGCGCCCCTCCTACAATAAAGTTTATTCTAGATTATTTAAAGCTGGGGTACCTGAACATCTACAGGTGTATTTGAAACAATCTGCCGTCAATCTCTCGTCACTCATTTCCAGTTGAAACATTTTCGGCCTGTGCAGCTTTTATAGTGAAGCAGAGACCCTTGCTCAGCCGATCAGTCCTCAGCCTATTGACTGCCAGCCGTTTTTGATGATTTCACTGTTTTTCAAGACCCACAGAATATTATTTCCTAGGACTATGTGAAATATGTAACCAGATTCTGAAAGACTGGATTGTCTACTTTCATCAGCAAAAATAAATTTGTTTCTAGCTGTTTTTATTGTCCTGTAATCCCCGGTCGAATAGAGGGTCTCAGACAAATACGTGAGTTAAGGGTCATGTATGCACCCAAAAGGGCTCTTTCTTACTGGTTTTACAAGATATAAAAGATGTTGTAAGAAGAAGAAGAAGAAGAAGAAGAAGGTCCTTTATTAGTTCCCACAATGGGGAAATGATGCATACACATACAGGCATAGGCAAAGACCAATGCTCTACCAACTGAGCCACTGTCGCCCCAAGAACCAAAAGTAGACGGTTGCAAAGGTTTTAACTGTTCACAGAATTCTGCATGAACAAGGCTCTCGGTGAGGTTAATATGATGTATTATTTATGAAACAACAGTTAAGTATCCCAGCTTAAATAAAAGAAAAGACACAAAATGTTTTGGTTCAGCCCCAGTATGAATACTGGTAGATACTCTCTCGGATGGGATCACATCCTAGTTGCTTTTTTACAGTGTGATACATGTGTAAGAGAATGATTAAGAAATTTTCAAAGGTTCAAGTGAAGGGACCTGAATTGTTTTTGGGACTCAAGGATGCGGAACGATTCTCTCCATGTTTTTCAAAGCATTCACTAACTCATTAAAACGGTTTTTAGCGAGTCTGAAACTAGACTAAGCACGTTACTCCATCAAACCAAGCTCCCAAAGATAAGATAAGTTTAGCAGAAGTGGAATATTCCAGACACAACAAAAACAAAAATGTGACAGACCCTTGAGCAGAGTCAGTTATTTTAATGTCAATGTATTATACTGAGTGTTGGGATACATATTATTGAGGTCCTGCAATAATAATGATAATAACAGTAGTAATAATAATAATAATGATATCAATGTTAATAATACCTTTGGTGGAGCCGCTGTGATGCGCTGCTTCCTCTGGTTGAGTCTGCTTGGTTCAGACCATTTTCTCTACTCTGGTTCTGAGTGAAATTCTGAAATCTTTATAAGTACTATTTTATACATATATTAGCCGTCCTCCAGTGGATTGATGAGACGCTTGATCTGATTGGTTGGAGGCGTGCGTCCTCTCTGCTCTGGTCTGGATCAGTGTTAAAACCATGAACACAGTACAGCAATAACATTTACAGAAAACAAGGGTAAGAAAAGGACAGGGGGGTCTGGGGTCGTGTCACAGATCGACGACTTGTTTTAATGTCAACGGTGGAGAAGAGACACAGACAAAGTTTCACAAAATGCACGTGATATTATACAGGAAGAATCATAGACAGTCCAATTAGCAGCTGCCACAGTGCCATGAGCTCCGGTCTTCACACAACCAAGACATCAAGTGGAAACTCACCAACTCCTGCACAGTGTTCATGACAAGTAAGTAAGTAATGTTTATTTATATAGCGCATTTTACAGACCAATGTCACCCAAAACGCTTCACAATGTTCAGAGTTCTGATATTGTTCCAATCATTCCACACACGGTGATGACAGAAGCGAGTCGCAGAACACACTGGACCATCAGCTCCAACCAACACCATCCATTCACTCTCTCATTTACATTCATACCTATTGTGCATGTTTTTAGTGGTAGGGGAATCCGGAGCACCCGGAGGAAACCTACGCAGACACGGAAAGAACATGCAAACTCCACTTAGAAAGGCCCTGTTCCGACCGGGATCCACTCAGCCACCGTGCCGCCATGACAGGTCAATAGGTTTAACCAAAATTGCCTAAAAGTGCTTGAAAATATCCATAATAGCAAAGAAATAACAATTGTAAAACACAAAGCAACAACTGTTTCAGAGCTACTCACAATTTCCAGTCTTTTCAAAAGTAAAAACATGAATGATTTATGAAAAAAGTTTGGTAGCCGAGCTTTAGTTATTGATTTCTTAAGTTAAAAGTCCCTTCCCTTTGTTGCTGCTGCTGACAACAACTCATTCCCATGTTTGTTATCTGCGTATAGCGTCTATTGTTGCACTCTGATTTGGACACACAATAGTCATTTAACTCTGATTCCAAAGAGTTTGTCATCACTTTTTGTCGACGGTGGACATCCTGCCGTCTGACGAGAGACGCGTAGTGTAAGTGCTTTTTGTTTAGTGCGACTTACATTTCTCAGTCCCCTCAGATGTTGCAGACAAAGGGGGCTGGGGCTGGAGTCTGGCCCGCTAACATATGGGCCGTGTCATTTATCACGTCTGCGGCTGAAGGAATGAGGAGCCATCAGTGGCCTGGCATTGATCCCTGTACGGGGCGGCCATTGTTCTGAGCAGCACCTGGAGCGGTAATGGGGAATGGGGGGTGAGGGGGTGGTCACAGGAGGGCGGAAGTATTTGATGACTAAACTGCAGGAAAGTTTAGCAAAAGCGGCAACAAAAGTCAACATTGTAGTAGAGCTGCACCAATGTTGTCAAAATTGCAATTTTTGTGGTGTTTGCGATCAAAAAATTGCAAAGACGCTAATAATTTCTGTTTTTTGCGAATAAATAACGACTAAAGATCAGCAGAGAAACACAATTCTGTTAAAGTGTATCTTTCTAAATTGTGTATACATTTGTGAGAAAAAAACGTTCAGAAATATGTGAGATTTTTGTGTTGAGTAGTGTAGCTTCATATGTGTGATAATTCATATCTAGTCCAATGTTCATTGTTTATTTGTCAGGGTTAGGGTCCAGATTGTAGTTTTGGGCTCATTTCCATCCGTCGTCCCACAGCCGCACTCAAAAACACTCACTCATTCACCCTCAACATTTGTTTGGTGCGGGAAACCAGAGGAGAACCTATGCAGACACAGGGAGAACATGTAAACTCCACTTACTAACCGTCCAACAGACCCTCAGACTAATTAAAGGAGCTCTGGTGTATGTGGTGCACACTGGGGTCGTCTTGCACAGTTTTTCCAATGTGGTTTTACTGCAAATGGCAAATAAATTCTTAAATCTTGAATCTTGAATGCAAAGCGTATAAGAACCAACATCTGTCTGTGTGAGTAAATGACAGACGTAAGAGGGCAGTAAACCAAGCATTGCCTTTTCAACAAAAGTGTCCTGGCCCCCTGGTGGACAAAGAAGGCCATTACAACCCACAATACATATTTCACAGTGATGAGTCAGGGCTTTACAGTTAAATACCACAATTAATTATTTTGCCAAAATGGTGCATCCCTACATTGGATTTTGAGATCGTGACTTGGCTTTTGGCTTCAGTCGAGGCGTCAGCGACAAAGCCTTTGTGTGTTTGTGATAAATGACAAAGTTGAAGCCATGACTGATTTAGGGGGATGAAGCTGCGCAAATATAAAGAGCACTTTAGAGACATTTTAGAGCGGACTCTGAGATGCAATATCTATCATTGTCTTTCAGTATAAAAGCCTCATTCTCTCCTCACTGAGCGGCTTTTGGTCTGTATGCACATTGTCTCGATATAGACTTTTGGCTTAGCTCATACCTGCAAACTACACCAGTGTGGGACTCATAACTTCAAAAGACTTGGTCAGTGTAAAATCTTTTAAAACAGACCAACCCTTGATTGTTTTAAACTGGCTCAAACGGACTCGGGACTCTTTGAACATGATTATGAATGTTGTTACTCTGGAGGCCTTGGAGAAACTGTCTATACAAAATTTTGTAAATAATGTGTGTTTTTTGCCTGTATTCTATTATCAGATTATTGTCAGATTATTGTATTCTTACAAATATGATCTTATTATTATTCTTAATTTTAAATTGCTACTTTGTTTTTTTTTATTGTGAAATACTATGCAAGCTACTGTGACAACGCAATTTCCCAAGACTTAGACGGACCATGAATTCTGTCTCAGTCTAAATCTATTTTTTGTTGTCCTTTTTGTCTTATATGGACTCTCTGTGTGTCTGAATGAAAGATTAAATATGTAAATGACCTATATCACAAAATAAGAGTGTAAAAAAGACACAGTCAGTATGTGTCTTCATCAGGCGCTTGTAAAGTACACGGCTGTAATATCTGCACCTGGCTTTGTTAAAAACACATTTGCAGCATCAGCATTGTTTGTCTGCAGTA